GTCAGGGAGAGTGGGAGAGGACTACAAAATATTGACTGTGACTGCAGTACCACTTTTGGCCAGATTTTTACATATTGCTCCTTTAAGGGCCATCAGAAATAAGTAACACCTTAAAGGGTCAATTGTTTTTTTCTTTTCAAACACATAACTTTGCAACATAGCTATACCATATGTTTAGGGAACCTCACGATGCGACGATGCAGCGATTATCGATATATTGGTGAAAAATATACCTACGATAATATTGTTCTTATTTATGGTATACATTAGGTGAAAAAATAGACTTTATTTCAAGATAAATCGATAAAGTGTCATGTGTATCAGTGAACAAGCAAAAATGCCTTTTAAACATTTCAGTGAAAATCTGACTTAATCTTTCTTACATCCAATGAAATCAATTTAAACATTCTAAAGAAATTGTAGAATGTGTGATGTAGCCATATATAAGTATCAACACTTTTTTTTCAAATAAAGCAAAAAAAACATTAAAATTGACATTTAAAAAAATACATATATATTTCTATAAATCAATACTTAGCAAAAGCAAATCAATAATCAATTGCGTGATACATCACCATATGGTGTATTGTCACAGTCCTACATGTATTCCAGTCATAAACCATATTATGAGGTATGGTTGTATTGCCCTTTACACAACCGTTGAATTCGCCAAAACAAATCAGAGAATCAAACCGTTCAGACACAATACATTTCACGGAAACACATTGTTATTGGTCCATAAAGGGCAGATGAGCAATGTCCATAAATGATGAATGACCTGAATCACCACTGTACTTTTAGTCAGACCCTCACAAGGCTCTAACTTGGCAAAGAAAAACTCTAAACCCAGTGGAAAAGTGAGACACCTCTGGGACTGACCAAGCGTCACCCATAGAACGCTTTTATAGCAAGAATGTGGAGTCAAATGTATGCTAACGGTTATGGTAGCAACGTGCTAATCATGAGCGACACCGGTTGGTCTCCACTTGTGCTACTTGTTCGCTAAAACCAAATCCGGTGACAGAAGGCTCCTGATTGGTCAGCTATAAAAGGCTCATATCTACAAAGACAATCTCACATTCTAAAAACCAGGATAAAAGAGATCACAGGGATCCGAACCATGGATTTTAAAAGCCCAAAATGCTGAGAGTGAAACAAACAGTTACTGAGCTGGAGGAGATTTATTTTCAATGTAAGTTAATAGGAGCCAGAGAGAGATGGAGCAAAACTTCATCCATGAGCACTTCCCGATTAGGCTTCATTGAGCTAGGGAGTTAGCAAAGTTCATCTATATACAGTATAGTCGGTTTCAGTAGTGGACCCCACATCAGATAATTATTTTACTTTTCTTAAAAAGGTCACTGTTATATTATTTTCTGAAAACTAATTTGGTTTGAACATGTGCTGTGAATTATTTTTGTTTTCCTAGTTGTTTGTTGTTTGTGTATTGCTATTTCTGGTCTATTTATATTGTCATCCATATTTTTAAGCCAGTTCTTTTATATAGTTCTCTGATTTATTTGAGTTGTTGAAGTTTATTGCGTTAAAGATTTCGATTTTGATTTACACATGACGTACTCACAGAGGGTTAAAATAAACAGAAGATTCTCTTTGGTAAATAATTGGTAGAGATGTGGTGTTTCCGAGCAGGGCCAAAGTTCAAGGCCGACTTGACTCAGCAAATACGATAAGACTACTATAATATCAAACATGAATAAGCTCTTTTCCTGCGGTTTTTTAACATGAGTAATGAAATAATGTATTTAGTATAAGTATTTAGTTAATACTGAGGTACCTATCCCAATCCAATCCACTTAATTTACACAAAATCCATCTAAGTAAGTAATGTTTATTTATATAGCGCATAAATTACAGACCAAGGTACAGACCCAAAGCACTTTACAATGTTCAGAGTCAGATATTGTTCCCATCCTTCCACACACGGTGATGACAGAAGCGAGTCCAGAACACACTGGACCATCAAAGCCTCTGACCCAACACCACCATTCACTCTCTCATTTACATTCAGACCTATTGTGCATGTTTTTAGTGGTGGGGCAAACCGGAGCACCCGGAGGAAACCTACGCAGACACGGGGAGAACATGCAAACTCCACTCAGAAAGGCCCAGTTCCGACCGGGATTCGAACCTAGGACCTTCTTGCTGAGAAGCGAGAGTGCAATCCACTCTTTAGGGGTAAATCTAAATAGTTATATGTTGGCCTCTGTAATGTCATCAGATCAGCTTTTACAGGCAAAAAGTGGAAAAGAGAGGATTCTGTTCATGTGTGTACCTGTGTGTACCTGTGTGATCCACCTGTGTGTACCTGTGTGTACCTGTGTGTACCTGTGTGATCCACCTGTGTGTACCTGTGTGATCCGCCTGTGTGTACCTGTGTGTACCTGTGTGATCCACCTGTGTATACCTGTGTGTACCTGTGTGATCCACCTGTGTGTACCTGTGTGTACCTGTGTGATCCACCTATGTGTACCTGTGTGTACCTGTGTGATCCACCTGTGTGTACCTGTGTGATCCACCTGTGTGTACCTGTGTGTACCTGTGTGATCCACCTGTGTGTACCTGTGTGATCCACCTGTGTGTACCTGTGTATACCTGTGTGATCCACCTGTGTGTACCTGTGTGATCCACCTGTGTGTACCTGTGTGATCCGCCTGTGTGTACCTGTGTGACCCACCTGTGTGTACCTGTGTGATCCACCTGTGTGTACCTGTGTGATCCACCTGTGTGTACCTGTGTGATCCACCTGTGTGTACCTGTGTGTACCTGTGTGATCCACCTGTGTGTACCTGTGTGTACCTGTGTGATCCACCTGTGTGTACCTGTGTGATCCACCTGTGTGTACCTGTGTGATCCACCTGTGTGTACCTGTGTATACCTGTGTGATCCACCTGTGTGTACCTGTGTGATCCACCTGTGTGTACCTGTGTGATCCGCCTGTGTGTACCTGTGTGACCCACCTGTGTGTACCTGTGTGATCCACCTGTGTGTACCTGTGTGATCCACCTGTGTGTACCTGTGTGTACCTGTGTGATCCACCTGTGTATACCTGTGTGATCCACCTGTGTGATCCACCTGTGTGTACCTGTGTGATCCACCTGTGTGTACCTGTGTGTACCTGTGTGATCTGCCTGGTTGTACCTGTGTGATCCACCTATGTGTACCTCTGTGATCCACCTGTGTGTACCTGTGTATACCTGTGTGATCCACCTGTGTGTACCTGTGTGTACCTGTGTGATCCGCCTGTGTGTACCTGTGTGTACCTGTGTGATCTGCCTGGTTGTACCTGTGTGATCCACCTATGTGTACCTCTGTGATCCACCTGTGTGTACCTGTGTATACCTGTGTGATCCACCTGTGTGTACCTGTGTGTACCTGTGTGATCCGCCTGTGTGTACCTGTGTGATCCAACTATGTGTACCTGTGTGATCCACCTGTGTGTACCTGTGTGATCCACCTGTGTGTACCTGTGTGATCCACCTATGTGTACCTGTGTGATCCACCTGTGTGTACCTGTGTGTACCTGTGTGATCCGCCTGTGTGTACCTGTGTGATCCACTTATGTGTACCTGTGTGATCCACCTGTGTGCACCTGTGTGTACCCGTGTGATCCACCTGTGTGTACCTGTGTGTACCTGTTATCCACCTGTGTGTACCTGTGTGTACCTGTGTGATCCACCTGTGTGTACCTGTGTACTTGTTATCCACCTGTGTGTACCTTTGTGTACCTGTGTGTATTTATACCCTGTGCTTTTCCTCGTCTATTTTGGGTTCCTTCATTCATCTTACCACATGACACATCAGCTGTCAACCCAAAGTATCAAATAGTGACTCACAGGGCTCATTTCTTATAAGTAGTGGTTTTGCAATGAAGACAGCATGTTGTCGTTCGATTCTCTCTCTCTCCTTTCAACATTATTTAAAAATAGGTTAAACCACATTCATGGAAAAAAGGTGCCCTGCTTTAAACGAGGCAGAAATAACTGAAGTAGAAGCAAATATTATATAATTGTGAATTTAAAATATTGACCGACTTCTGCTTTGTTGATACAGAATAGACACATGTATTTCTCTGTATATACGTTATTTTATCATTTCATAAGATGTCAAAACAGTGAATTTATAAATATTTCATCACGGACAGTCAGAGAAAACACATCCTTGTCTCACCAATTACAATAAAACTAGTGTATTATCAAACATGAAGGAGATATTTTCTGGTGGTTTTGGAACTTGGGTAATCATAGAATTTTGATTGATTGATTTGTATATAAAAATACATCTAACTAACTATATTTTGTCCCCTGTCACATCCCAGTCAAATAGTGACTAACAGGGCTTTTTCTTACTAGTACGGAAAAATATATGGTTTTCTTATGAACATTATTTCTATTGGGGCAAACAACATGTTATTAATGGAAAAAGGTGCCCCGGCAGACATGACTAAAGAAGAAGCATATATTGTATAATTGTGAATTTAAAATAGTAATCCTTTTATTTTACTCTTACACCTCAGTATTGTTCATATAGAGCAGACACATGTATTTCTATGTATTCATATATGGATGATATTTTATTATTTCAAGATGTCAAAATAGTGAATTTATAAATAATTCATCATGGATTGTGGACAGTCAGACTGGGTTATAAGAGCCTCACACAACACACACAGAATCTGACACCGGTTTCACTGAACACATCACAATATGAACCCAAGAAAGTGAATTAGCATTTTCTTCATCAATTGCCCGAGATGGGGACACAAATTATTGTTTTTTCCCCCTGCTCAAAACAGTTATTAGTCTAGTGTCTCTCTATTTACACTGACAATTGCATAAGAAGGTCACAGGACTCCCCGGCCGGAGCTAAATCCTCTGCAGGCGAGCGTACACTGAGGTAGCAACAACAACAAAAGCACCACATCACAAGAGTCAAAGCTGCAATGTTCTGTCTATGAAAGCAAACTGTCAAAACCAACCTACCTATCGGCTGTCAGCACATCTTCAGACAACAACGAGACCCAGCACAGTTCACCGGCTCTCGAGTCTCTCACACCATCCTCTCCCTCTGCACCTTTTACCTGGGATCATAAAATATGTAAATAGCCCCAGCTGAGCCTATGGTAGCGACTGTAGCTACAGAGATCCTGTCCGGGGAGTGAAACTTGCACAATGTGGCCGGCCGCACGCACATGTTCCAGTCACATGACCAAAGTGAGTGACCTACAACACACTTGCCTGTTTTTAGTGGAAATACATTTGCATATCGTTATTTGAGAGTGAATTATTCAAATATAGACTGCAAACATATCATGAACATAAATGAAGCAACTTTTTTTCTCAAGAGTTTTCTTCCTGATTTATCTTATTGAGACAAAATGAAAAATTTTAAGCAAATGTTAAAAAAGCCACATTGCAGTTTAAGATAATCATGTAATTTGATTTGTTTTAAAGAAATATTATGAAACACACCAGATTCATACATGTCCATTCTTTTGCATACACCCTTTACCGTTTACAGTATTCAGTTTGGTGGTATCTCTGGAAAATAATGAAACAAATACTTGCACAAAAGCCAAACTTAGGGGCAAAATGTAACCCTTTGGGGGCAGCCGGAGTTATTTATTTTCCTTGGCTTCAAATGTTGATGATGCTGTTGTTTGTCAAGCGTCACAGCGGTATTGACTGAAGTGCATTCACAGTGGAGTTTTTATAGCAACTATATAATTTGGTAACAAGGGGGTATGAGTTTATTATGTCAGGTAATAAAGAATAATACCATGGGTGCAGTGGGGAGGTGTAATTATTGAGATGAGGAAGGTGTTTACAGAAGGGGCACAGGGAGAACAAACATCAGCTTATGCAAGACTGTTAACTTTATATTTCATCCGTCATTCTTGGATTCAGGATGTAAACACACAGAGAAAGAAGAGGATCCGTTAATATTTCAATGACTATTTTTGTTTTTGTCATGACATGCTTTTCTACGACGGCACATAGGGCTCACCTAGGGCTTTTTTCTGTCAGACGCTATGAGATTAAAGTCAGAATATTGTGACATTAAATTCAAAATATGATGAGAATAAAGTTAAAGAAAGAATATCATGAGATTAATCTTGAAATATCATGAGATTAAAGTCAGAATAATTCACAGTAAAGGAGACAATGGCGCTCCAGTGAAGATTGAAGCTAAATGTTTTACGTTTTCACAAACTGATGACCTAATATAACAGTGGTGTTTTTTGTTGAACTGTGTTTATGAGTTGCCGGTGAAGGAACGCAGATGTGTACAATGATTTCCCCAGGCAGCTGCTTCGCCTGTGGCTGGGACAGAGCACGTTTGCGTGGACTGGTCCGAATTAATGAACTCTATGACGCTGAACATCAACAGTGCACGAGAAAAGGACAGGAGTAAACCTATTGAGGTTCTTTTAACTCTGAACGGAGAAGCGCTTTGTGTATTTGTGATCAAATGTCATTGTTATTTTAAGACATTCATGTGAAAAGAAAACGACTTTATTCTCATCGTATAAGAATGATTCATCAATTCCACAACCGGTCCACACAAATTTGCTCTGTCCCAGCCACAGGTGAAGAAGCTGCTTGGGGGAAGTCCAATGTCAAATAATTCTGCGTTCCTTCACCTGCGACTGAGACAACAGTCTATAACAAATAAGACCACTGTTGGGTCCTCAGTTTAAGAGTATATGAAAAGCATAAAACCATCTAGAACTTCAGTGAACTCTGGACGAGGTGTCTCTCTGTTCATTTACCTGCTCTGTACGATGGAGCTCCACTGCCTACTTATGCAAATGTTTACTTTTATCTCTAAATATTGTATTCTCAAAATATTTTTAGTTTATTCTCATAATATTTTGGATTTAATGTCGAAATATCTAACTTTAATCTCAGAGCATCAAGAAAATAAATAAAAAGCGGCTGAGCCCTTCATGCTCCATCGTACTTTTCTTAAATGAACGCTGATACACTGGGGATTTTACAAGACTAAAAGAGGAGGAGTGGCAAATGTAAGATATTATAATGTTATGTAATATACATATAAGAAACAGTAGAATAAGAAACTCTGAAAAACATAATACATCGTAAATAATCTGGCAGGACTATGTTTCTCGGCCAACAGGCATCTCTACTCACACTGATACCTCTGCAACCAGGCCACAGGTAAATCAGTGCTCAACGGATTGGTAATGATAAAATGCATGAATGATATTTAATCTAACATTCATCAAGGAATAATCGGGCCTCACTAACTGGTAACTTTCTAAAAAGCGTACTGAGTTGTTAATGCCTTTGTATCGCAGCAGCAGTCAGTCGCTGGTGGCTGTGGTGTGTTCAGGTTTGGGTCCCTGCTCGTAATTAGTTACACACCTTACATCCACAGAGCGCAGGTGAGGCCTGGGCTGGCCAAAAGTAATTGCATGGACTAATGAAGTGGTGCCGTTCCAAGGTGGCAACACACCAGACTACACCTGCTGTTCCCTGGTCACTGAGACCAGCGTTCGACGGCCTGCGCTAATGAAAAGCAAGAGGCTTTCTGAGGTCGCTGCCGAACTTTCTCATTTGTATTGAGCATTCCTTAAGGAGCAAGTGATAATGGAGACACAACCTTAACCTGATGGAAATAAATATACCAAAGTCCATGAAGTGTTTTTGTTAAATAGTGAGAAGATACAACACAACATCCAGCTATTTTATTTTGATTGATGGATTGTATTTTATTTCTAGCTTATAAACAGGAATCATTTATAGATTTAACAGCAATTACATATATACACACACACATATACATACATAAATATATATACTTTTTTTCACTCCTGTTAAAGCTCAAAAAAGCAGTGGGAAGAAGTCAAGCTCATAGGCTCCCACCCCCTATACCTATATTTTATACGGTTGCACACATCCATACAGACATAGCCATACATATGTACTGTATACAATATTCATACACACATGCTATTGATATTACAGATTAAATCGATTCAAAACTTAACCAGTGCATGGAGAGTGTACGCCCAACATATATGAGGAAGCTAAAACTGAGGAAGCTAAACAATACGATTAATGTCTATTGAACTATGGACAAAACTGGGTTAAAGCAGTTCTGTTTAGCTGTGCATACAACAGATTGATCTCACCCCTCGACTATGACCCAAGTCCAAATCTACAAGTTCATGATTGAAACAGAACAGTCATCTCTCCAAAATATTGTGTTTTATAGATAACAAATACATGAATAAAAAAATCCTTTCTGTAATCGCACGTAAATTGAAGCCACAAATAGCTGACGAATAACGGAAATCTACAAAACTGTCATGGTGTGGATTTTATTTTTGTATTTTTGTTGTATTTTGAAATTGGTTTTCTGTGGTTTGGTTTTAGTTTTGCTTCCTGTCTGGTTCCCCAGTCTTGATTGTCTGCCCCGCCCTGATGTGTTTCACCTGTGTCTCTGTGTGTGTCTGTGTGTACCCTGTGCTTCTCTCCCATTGTTGCTGGTTCATTGTATTGTCAACGTCTTGTCCTTGTCTGTTCCGGTTTCTTTGATTCTTTTTGAGCCTTTGGACTTTTATTTTATTATCATTAAATAATAATTTTTTGGCATTCCTGCATTTTGGGTCCTTCCTGCATTTCCACCACGTGACACAAAACATGCGTTTGAATTTGCAATACACTGCAAAACTGATTAAAAGTCAAAAATTGCTCAAATTTGGTAAAAATTGTGTTATAATTCTGACTGCCTTTTTTTCATTGGTAAATCTTGAAGTCAGAATGTACTCAAATCACGTTAAAAAAACACTTGATTCAAGCTATTACTACCTCATAATTTATCATTGCAGTGTAGCTACTTCGTTTATTTGATGTCTATCTTTTCCCTCCTAAATTGCAGAATATAAAAAGTCCCACTCAGAGGTGTCTTACTCGCGTCATGGTCCGCAGTCTGCTCCGTTTCTCTGGCTCGCAGCCCTCAGACCCGGCTCAACATGGCGGGCAGCTGACACACTCTAGACAAGGACAAACAACCCAGGGCGCGTTCGGGCCGGCCTGTGCGGAGCTCCATCTCCGGCTTAGCGGGTGGAGACGTGTCCTGGGGAGACACAGAATGCAGAAAAGTTGCAGAAACATAAATAACAGGCTTTCCTCAACAGATGCTGAGGCTTATTCCTGACTGCTGGGCATCGCTACCATTGTGTTTGTTTACACAGCAGCCAGTCTACTGCCCACACGCAAGGAGCAGGATGCACCGGGCGTTTGGCGTGTAATGGTTTCTGACATGGACACTGTGCTGTTTGGACTGTGGGAAAAACTATGAGGAGAAGTTCCCCTTGTTTGTTTGTATGTCAGATGCATTTGACATAGTGTTACAATGACGGATTTACTGTATGGTAACTAGAAAACTATTATTATTCTTATTGTTGTTTTTGTTTTGTTTATTTATTTAAAGTGACAGGGACAGTAAGGCAAGGCAAGTTTATTTGTATAGCACAATTCATACACAAGGCAACTCAAAGTGCTGAACAAAACATAAAAGCATTAAAATCATAAATAATTACAGAACATTAAAAAGAAAGATACAAATATAAAATCCCTCAGTTGTATGCACAGCTAAACAGAGCTGTCTTTAACCTGGTTTTAAACATTGTCAGAGAGGAGGCCTGTCTCACATCTTCAGGAAGATTGTTCCAGATTTTAGCAGCATGAATCTGAAAAGCAGCCTCCCCATGTTTAGTTCTGACTCTGGGCACTAACAGGAGTCCAGTCCCTGTGCTCCTCAGAGTCCCAGCAGGAGTCCAGTCCCTGTGCTCCTCAGAGTCCCAGCAGGAGTCCAGTCCCTGTGCTCCTCAGAGTCGCAGCAGGAGTCCAGTCCCTGTGCTCCTCAGAGTCGCAGCAGGAGTCCAGTCCCTGTGCTCCTCAGAGTCCGGGCTGGTTCATATGGGACTAACATGTCACTAATATATTTTGGTGCGAGGCCATGGAGAGACTTGTAACAAGCAAAGCTGTTTTAAAGTCTATTCTCTGAGCCACAGGAAGCCAGTGCAGAGACCTGAGGACTGGACTAATATGGTCGTACTTCCTGGTTCTAGTCAGGACTAATGTGGTTGTACTTCCTGGTTCTTGTCAGGACTAATGTGGTCGTATTCCCTGGTTCTTGTCAGGACTGGAGCCGCTGCATTTTGAATGTACTGCAGCTGTTTTACAGCCTGTTTGGACAGACCTGTGAGCAGGCCATTGCAGTAGTCTAACCTACTGGAGACAAATGCATGGATAAGAATCTCCAGGTCTGCTTGTAGTGTACAATAAACATTAACCTCAAAGGGAAAGATGCATTGTTCCAGGTTCTAGCTCAAGAGCTAATTTCCACCCGTAGTCCCAGGGCTGATGGTATGACATTACATTATGATGATGTTATATACAATTTACATTGGCAAAATACATAGACAAATTGTTAAAACCTCATTCATATCGCTCATTTATACAGGTCAAACACACACAACCTGTTCCCACACACACACACACACACACACACACACACACACACACACACACACACACACACACACACACACACACACACACACACACACACACACACACACACACACACACACACACACACACACACACACACACACACACACACACACAATCTTTCTCACAGGGGTGTCTAACTTCCAGCTATTAACAATATTCCGTCACAATCCTCAGCATCGTAAGGCCATTATACCAGGGTTTCAGCCCAGAAGGTTTTTTGTTCAGCCTGAAATGAACATTGACAACACATAGCCTCGTGATGAGAGCCACACATTGGTTCAACAGTGAGCGCCCACTCAGCTCGTCATTCACCGGCCCCACAACAACATTTCTATTTTTACGTTTCTATTTTACTTTGTTTCCTTTTTTGACAGTTTCTAGATCAAATATTTAGGTTCATTAGGAACCAACACGTCTTGTCAAGGTGGAGAACGTGCCGTGAGGTCTTGGAGCGCGCCCTAACAGCTAAATGAGCGCTTGCACATGATTTCATTAAACTTTTCTGGAGTAGTACAGATTTTTCTGCAGTATGTCTAAAGGGTCAGAGAAGATCAGTTTATTCTGTGTGTGCTGTTGCAGTAAGGATTAGTGAGACTCACATCAGCTGACAACTGGAAAGACGAAAAACCAGAATGACCAACAATTGTGTTCACCCTCCCTTACTTGAACTTGTCATTACTATAAATATGTTTAATTTTTCTATAAAGAGGTTGATTTTATACCCCGAATATGTATCTGAAGCTGAAGACAGATGCTGTGGGGAATTCTTGTTGCCAGTTTATACATCCATGTGCATGTTCTGAAAACCTTTGCATACTTTGACTGTCGGCTAAAGGATTAATGTGACATAGACCATGAATATGTGCCTTTCAGATTTCCATATCATATATTTATGTTATTGATTGCACCACCCTATCTTTTCACAACAATGAGAATGATATTGTCTACAGATGTTTAAGTCGTAGCCTGTTGGGTTCACTGCCAAAGTATCAGTAATAAAGGGCAGTAGTGTGCAGTATTTTAAGACGGTTACATCCGTACTCAATGTCTTTTTTCTGTAACTTCCACAGAACGATCAGCACAATTGCAGAGTTTGTAGTGAGCGACTCCTGCTGGGAAAGCCATGTTCCAGCTTCTTCCCTCTGGCAGAAGATATCGCTCTCTGAGATGTAGGACATCTCGTTACGCTAACAGTTTTTATCCACAGACTGTTTTCAGTGTGAACAGAGCACTTTAATGATTTGCACTTGTTTTGAAACTGTTTTAGTCGATCGATTTCACAGTGACATTTGTTTACTGTTTTATTTTTGTCTTTTAATGTTGTTTTATGTCTGTATTTGTCTGTGCACACTGGAGACTTTTTGCTAATGTATTCCAATGTGGTTGTTTTACTGCAAATGGCAAATAAACTGAATCTGAATCTGCTTTGTAAATGACGACAGAGTGTGATCAATGAGTTAACAGGATTGCACAGTCCACATCAGGACCAGGTGTAAGTCCTGCTGCTACTTTGGCCTCAACAAACAAGACGAGAGGACTGCCAACCCGACCGGACGCCAGCAGACCGATGAGGCCGAGCGCCGCGTTACTGCTGCTACTGCAAATTACAGGACTGCATGATAGCTTAAGTTTAGAGATTCTTTATTTAATCGTTGAATACACACATATGATACATTAACATTTATGTTGTTCAGTTTTTCCCACTGAGTTTAGAGTCTTGTGAGGGTCTAACTAAAAGGACAGTGGTGAGGATCCAGGACAAGGATGGAGGATTTGACCGATTGTGGAGACCAGGAGCTTCTTCCTCAGAGGGCAGAGAGCGAACCACCATGGCACCAAGCTGACATACTTTATGATCCAATTGGGGAAAAAAATAAAAATGATAATGATGATACTAAAATAAAAAATAAAATGCTTGATGAGAATGATAAATATGTAAATTGTGTTCCCTGACTATAACACTGGGTAACAACAAAAATATGTTTAGAAAATAGTCCAGGGTTTTTCAGCTGAATCAGACTAATGTTGATGCTCTGAGTCTGAAAATGACCTTGGTTTTGCTCAATCAGGTCAGGATTTTTTACTACAGAAATATGTTTTTAAATATTTTGCGTAAAAAACTAATTTCTGCGGATCATCAGCTGAGAAACCCTTGACGTTTTTTCCGTTTTCCTCAAGAAATAAAAGTCAACGTATCCATTCAGTTTTTATTTACTCCATCAAATTTGATAAGCAGCATTCATAATAACGTAGAAGTACATAATCCGTAACACTATGGCTGTATCTCAAAAAGTTGACCTGATAGCGCAACATGCATGAGATATTCAGACTCAGAACACCAACATTAATCTGAATCAGTTGAGAAACCCCTGACCATTTTTTGGCTATAAACTTGTGTTATAGTTACACCATGGGGGTTCACAGAGATAATATAATTTGATCATTTTTGGCTACACCAGTCCAGTAAGCACAAACAATTATACTGTGTCCCCCGGTATTTGTTGTGTGTCAAAAGAGTTTGCGACTGATCATCTAAAGTCTCAAAGGGTAAAACAGAATAATATAGTAAATGTTTATTTCATGCTTGCACGCCAAAAGACATAAAGTATAACAGCCTTACACAGGTTTTTTTCAACATATACTGCAGATGAAATTGTGACATCATTTGCAGTCCCTCTGGCTTTAGTATTCATGTATAGGCAGCCGGCTTTGAAAACCAGTACAAGGTTGTTACCAATTAAGGATTTCTTTAAAAAGGAGAAAAATACCATCAAAGATAAAAGGCCTTTCTCTGAAGAAGTAATTTTCATGTTCAAAGCGAGGAGGCAAAAGGTCCACTAACAGATATTTGTTCAGTCAGTCAGAAAGTTCTTTTTAAGTCCTAAAATAGGAAAATTGCCACAAAAACACTTGCAGAATACAATGTGTTGGTACAGTGCGAATTAGAATCGACACCAAATGAAGTGTGATGTTAGATTTCTGATGATTTTTTTAAATGTATTTTTCTACTTGAATGGAAGTCTATCTCAATGTCACCAAATGGAGCAGATCAAGCAACTTCAAAGATCATCACAGGTGTTGTTTCCCTTGTTTTGGATGTGATAAGCCAATTATTGATTTTTAAATATCCAAACCACACCATCAAACATTAAACTAATCAAAGATAGATAATTTGGCATGTCATATACGTGCACGTGTGTCTGTGTCTCTTTCTTGTGAAGCCTGAAGTGGTGAACAAATGTATTATACAATAACGCTACAATAACCATTACTGCTAACAACTTGTGCTTATGGTAAAAAATATGTCTGCAAGATAGTACTTTGTATGCTTGTGATCAACAAGAAGGAATTTGAGAGATTTAATTGTTTACATCTTTCAGTTTCATGTCCTCAAAGCAAATCATCCCACTGACAGCACATGTATCTGGACAAAGGAAAACCATAAAGATGATAATGATATGTTTTTTTGTTTGTTTTTTATATATATATAAGGGCTTGTTCGCACTAAAGGGCACAAAAGTGTGACAA